TACCTTTGTGATCCCACATTTCCATAGTGATATCACTAACCCACTGTGAAATTCCAATCCTCTCACACCCAATCCAGGTATGAAATGTGATACCCGAATCCAGTGTGACATTTAGATCATAGTGACATCACACTGATAGATGTTAAGAGCATTTTGTCACATTCTGACAACACACACCTGTTAGGACTTCATCACTTTTGTGACAACGCATGCCTTTGGAGATACCACAGTCCCTTTATGAGCTCATATACTCATTGTGAGTTAATGACAATTGAGATCACATGTGTCATTTTGATATCACCAACCCATTTTGACATCACACACCTCTTGTAAACATCACTAGTGTGGCATCACCAATTGTGATATGAAAACCTTATTAAGTTATCATATTGCAACATCACATTGCCATTATTATATCACTGTTCCATTGTGTTTTCTAAAACCTAGTATGTCTTCATAGCATTTTAGAAAATTCATGGTCTTTTATACTTCATTCTTCTTCTGTGAACTCATATCCTCATTGTGAAATAGTAGCAACTGAAATTGGACATGTGATTTTGAGGTATGACTTCACAAAACTATTTGATTTCATTACCAATTTGACATCCAAACCCATTGAGAACTTTCATTACCATTTGACATCACTATCACATTTTGACATCCCAAACCGATTAAGACCTCTTAGCACATTTGATAAAAACATAGGACCTTTGTGACATCACAGTCGCTTTGTGTAACTATAACCTCATTATGAACTTCCAATTGGTATCAGACATGCCATTGTAATATCACGAACCCTTTGTGGCATCACCAGTGTGACATAACATTTTCATTATGACAGCGTCAACTACTTTTGATATCACAAAAGTACAATGACAAGATAGCATTATGAGATCACATTGTCATTGTGAAGTTACAGATAGATTGTGAATGTTTATTTTTAATTGTTTTTTTTTCCGGTTGTGGGGCTTGAACTCTGGGCTTGGTTGCTGTTCCTGCTCTTCTGCTCTAGGTGAGCACTCTATCGCTTGAGCCACAGCACCACTTCTGGTTTTCTAGTTGTTTTTATTGGAGATGAGTCTTATGAACTTTCCTGCCTGAGCTGGCTTTGAACTGCGATCCTCAGATCTCAGCCTCCTGAGTAGCTAGGATTACAGGTGTGAGCCACCAGTGCAAAGCTATTTCATTCTATTGCAAATTTGACATATGTGTTGATATCAGAAACATAATGTGACATCATAACCATTGTAACATCATAAATCAGCAGTGACATCAAATTGTCATTATGACACCATCAACTCATTGTGACATCACCAAACAACAATGGCATCATAGCAGTATAAATCACAGTGACATTGTTACATCATAGACGTAACATTGTAAAGGCTTATTGTATGAATTCATTCTATTTCAGAAACCCATTTTGACAATATATAACCATTCTGATATCACAATACATTGTGACATCACATTGCCATTGTGATATCATTAATCTGCTGTGCCATCACAAACCAGTCCTGTACTTACAAGTTTTGTGCCATGCTGCCCTCGTTATATATTAGGTCCTTGTGAGCTCATAATCTGTTTTCAATCTCATATTTCTGGTATGACATGTGATATCAGAAATCCCCTGTGACATCATATTGCCAGATTTCATGAATATTGTGTCACATTGTGACATCACAAAACTGTTAGAACAGCATTACGTTTGTGACAACACATGCTTTTGGAGACATTACAGTCACTTTTTGAACTCATATATTCATTCCCAATTAATGACAATTGAGATCTGCCATGCCACTCTGACATCATGAACTCATTGTGACATCACAAATTTATTGTGCTCATCACGAGAATGGCATCAACAACTAATTGTGGTATTAAATCATTATTTTGACATTATATTGTGGTATTGCCGTCGTGACATCATTGTTCCATTGTGTTTTTACAAACCTACTATGGCGACATCACATCTTAGAAAATTCATGGTCTTTGAGATTTCAAGCTTTTTTCTGTGAACTCATGTACTTATGACCCCTAAAGCAAGGACACAAGCCATTGAGTCAAATTTAATATAATAAAACAATTTACAATAGAAAGAGGATTGTGATTACCTTATCCTGGACTGGATACCCAGGTCCAAGAGCATCCTTGACCAACAAACCTCAGAACTTCAATGGGCATCACCACCCTTTTTAATTGGTCTGCAAACCACCATCCAAAAAATTATGATCTCCAAAGCTCCAAACCTCAATGGGCAAGGCTTTTTACTTTTCCATTCCTCCCTCCTTCACTACAGAGCTGTCCTTCCTTCCTGGTCTTTCCCTTTATCCCTTCCACCACTTCCTTCTTCTCTTCCACTCTCCTCCACTCTCCACAGGCCTGCCCTACTCTGCCCCCGTGACCACTTGCCAACCTTCTGCTCTCCATCAACTTCCTCTCTTCTCAGATTTTTCTCTTTATTCCATCCTGGTAGCACCAATTTTTATTTCCCCTTCCAATGCTCTGAAAATGCAACCTATATATAGGTTTACCTCTCTTTACTCTAACGGGTCTTCTGCCTAACAGTTTTCAACAATCACTTCCCAAACTGCCCAATGCTCAATAACTCCTTGACAGCTCACCATGTGAGGCTTGACACTTCACCTTTGGCGGCATTCCCCACACTCTCCGGTGGGCCAGACCAAGAATTTACAATGATTATCAGCTCAGACAGATAATTCTGGCCCCACTGGTTATTACATTATCCTCATAGTGAATTAGAAGAAATTGAAATTGTATACGTCATTGTTATATTACAAACTTGATGAGACATCACTAAACCATTGTGACCTAATCACCGTGGTGACATCACAAACTCATTGGGATATCACACTGACATTGTGCTACCATGATCACATTGTGACATCCCAAACCTATTATGACCTCAGAAGCTTTGAAAGAAAGCATGGCCTTTGCGAAATCACAGGCCTTTTGGTATCCATACCCTTATTTTGAGCTAATGACAATTGAGATGAGACATGTCATTTTAACATCGCAAAACCTTTATGACATCATCACCAGTGTAATATCACATTGTCATTATGACAACATCAGCCCATCATGACATCATAAAACAATGACATCATAGCATTATTATATCACATGGTCATTGTGATGCCACAGACACATTGGAATGCCTATTCTGTGATTTCATTCTATTTCAAAAGTGCCAGGTTTGTTGATATCAGAAATACATTGTGACCACATAATGTTTATGACATCACAATACCTTGATGACACCATATTGCAATTATGATATCACTAACCCACTGTGACATCACAAACTTTCTTATTCTCATAAATTTTTGACATGCTTCCAGTGTGATCCCTTTGGCCTCTCTGAGTTCATAAATTGTTTAACTCATGATACTTCAGGTATGACATGTGATATCAGAAATCCACTGTGACATCATGACCACTGTGACACACTGCCAGATATCATGACCATTGAGTCACATTGTGACATCACAAACCTGTTAAGACTCATGACACTTGTGCCAACATATGCCTTTGGATACATCATTAACCCTCCTGAACTTATATATTCATTGTCAATTAGAGATCTGGCATAAGATTTTGACATCACCATCTCATTGGGAAATCACAAACCTATGTGACCTCATCACCTGTATGGCATCACCAACAATTTGTGACTTCAAAACAATACTATCCCATGTAATGGTAACATCACATTACCAATGGGATTTTCACCATTGCATTTTCACCAACCAATTATTTCCTCATAATATTTTACAAAATTTATGGCCTTTCTGACTTGTAGCTCCTTATGTGAACTAGTATCTTCATCGTGATCTAGTAGAATGAAATTGGACATGTAATGGTGATATTACAAATTCATTGTGACACCATTATCCAAGTGTGACCTTATCACCACTGTGACATCACAAACCCATTGTGACATCACATTGCCACAGTGATATCTCGGTCACCTTGTGACATCCCAAATCTGTTGTGACCTCTTAGCACTTTTGAAAAAGCACATGGTACTTGTGACATCACAGTCCCTTTGGGTAACCATATCCTCATTGTGAACAAAGGACAACTGACATCAGACATGCCATTGTAACATTACAAACACTTTGTCACATCATCTCCAGAGTGAGATCACATTGTTGTTATGATACCATCAAATCATTGTGACATCCCAAAATGACAATGACGTCATAGCATTATGACATCACATTTTCATTGTTAGGTCATAGAGACAATGTGATTGCCTATTCTGTGGTTTCATTATATCTCTAATGTGACATATAGGTTGATTTCAGAAACCCATTGTGACCACATCACCATTGTGATATTACAATCCCTTTGTGACCTCATATTGACATTGTGATATTATTAATGCAATGTAACATCACAAACCTCTCGTCCTCATAAATTTTGTAACAAGTGTCTACCTTGACCTGGGCTAGATGCCCACAGCTAAATGCAGCTTCAACCATGAACCCTCAGACCTCCAAAGAGCAGCCCAACCATTTGTTATCTGGCCTGTAAATAAGCAACCCCAAAAATAATGATCTCCAAAGCTCCAAACTTCAAAGGACAAGGTTTTTTTCTTTCTATTCATCCTCCTTCTCTACAGACCTGTCCTACCTTTCAGGTCTTTTCATTTTTTTCCTTTCACCATTCCCTTCTTTTCTTCAGGCTTCTCTACTCTTGACAGGCCTGCCCTGCCCTGTCCAGGTGGCCAGTTGCCATCCTTCACCTCTTGGTCTCCCTCAATTTCCTCCCCCAGGTTTTTACCCTCCTGCAGTCTCTTTACTTCTTTCCTTCCAGGCCTTTCCCTCTTTTCTCTCCCCTTCTGTTGCTCTGAACATGCAGCCTATGTATAGGCTGTACCCTTCCCCCACTGCACTATGTTTCCTGCATAACAGTTTTCAATCATCACTTCGCAAAAGTCCATGCCCAATCACTTCATGGCAGCTCACAATGTGGGGCTTGACAACCTATCTCCTTCAGCAGCATGTGCTGCTCCCTTCAGCTGCATGCACCCGCCTCTCCTGTGGTCCAGACCAGGAGGCCATGATGACTATCTGTTCCCATGGATGATAGGGTCACTGCTGGTTATTAAGTGTATCATGGTGATCTAGGAGAAATTGAAATTGGACAAATTTGTGATATTACAAACTCATGATATAACTAACCCATTGTGACCTCACCAACACTGTGACATCACAAACACATTGTAACATCACATTGCTGTTTTTGACACCAGGATCACATTGTGACATCCCAAACCTATTATGACCTCTTATAACCTTTGAAAAAAATACATAGTTTTGTGACATCACAGTCCCTTTGTGTACCCAAATCCCCACCATGAAATATTGACAATTGAGAATCAAACATGACATTTTAACATCAAAAAGTTTGTGAGATCATCACAATTGTGACATCACATTGTAGTTTTGACACCATCTGCTCATTCTGAAATCACAAAAGTAAAATAATATGATAGAATTATAACTTCACATTGTCATTGTGACATCATAGACACATTATGAATGCCTTTTCTGTGATTTCATTGCATTTCAAATGTGGCCTGTAGGTTGATATCATAAACAAATCTTGAAATCATAACCTTTGTGACATCACAACCACTTTGTACATCACATTGTCATTGTGATATCACTAACCTACCATGACATCACAAACCTATCCTGTCATCATAAATGTTGTGACATGCTGCAATTTTTTTAGCCTTTTTGTCCTCATGATCTGTTGTGGACCTCATTAGATTTCACATATGACGTTTGATATCACAAATTCCCAGTGACATCATGACCATGGTAACATCACACTGCCAGATGTCATAACCATTGCGTCAAATTCTGACATCACAAACCTTTTTGGATTTCAATATATTTGTGACAACACATACTTTTGGAAAAACTACAGTCCTTCTGTGAACTCAGATATTCATTGTAAGTTAAAGACAATTGAGAAACATTATGTCATTTTGACATGCCCCACACATTGTGACATCACCAATCTTTTGTGACCTCATCATCAATGTGGCATCATCAATTGTGACACCAAAATAATATTTTGACATGATGCAGTGAGTTGACATTGCCATGGTGATATTAATGTCCCATTGTGTATTCACAAACCTAATATGGCCTCATAACATTTTTAAAAATTCCTGTCCATTAGGACTTCAAGCTCCTTCTGTGAACTTGTATGCACATTGTGAAAAAGCAATTGAAATTGGACATGTGTTTAAGATATTACAAAATCATCATGACATCAAAAACCTATTGTGAACTCATCACAACTGTGTATCATGAAGCTATCATGGCCCCTAAGTACTTTTGAAAACACACATGACATTTGTGACATTTCAGTCCCTTTGTATACCCATATCCTCATTGTGAACACATGACAATTGTATTCATATATGCCATTGTAACATCACAAACCTTTGTTACCCCATCATCAGAGTGACACCATTATCTCCTTGCAACATCACCAATTTACAATGACCTCATAGCATTATGACATTATATTATCATTGTGATGTCATAGTTACCTTGTAAATGTCTATTCTATTTCATTCTCTTTCAAATGATGTGGCCTGTGGGTTGATATCAGAAAACCATTGTGATCTCATAAATGTATGGCATCACAATCACTTTGTGTTATCACAGTGCCATGGTGGTATCACTAACACACTGACATCACAAACTTGACCTGTCCTCATAAGTCTTGTGATGTTCTGCAATTGTGATGTCTTAGGCCCTTTATGAGTTCGTAATCTATTTTCAACCTTATAATATTTCAGTTACGATATGTGATATCAGAAATCCACTGTGACATCATGATCATTGTGACAACATACTGACAGATATCATAAATATTGTGTCACACTGTGACATCACAATCCTCCTAGGGCTTCATCACATTTGTGACAACACATGCCTTTGGAGATAGCACAGTCTGTTTTGGAACTCATATTCTCTGTGATTTCATGATAAATGAGATCCTTTATGCCATTTGGATATCACCAACCAACTGTGACATCATAGACCTACTCTGACCCCTTACCTGTAGGTCATCATCAATTAATTGTGACATCAATACCTTTTGTGATGCCACAATATGACACTATGATCATTACATCTGTCAGTGTGATGTCACAATGGTCATGATGTCACAGTGGATTTCTGGTATCTAATGTCATACATGAAATATGAGGTTGAAAACAAATTATGAGGGCAAAAAGTCTGATATCACAATGTCAGCATGTCACAAATGTTAGGAGGAGAGGAGAAGTTTGTGCTGTCACATTGTGCTAGTGACATCACAATGGCACTGTGATGGCACAAAGTGATTATGATGTCAAAATGGTTATTTAGGCACAAAAATGCGTTTCTGATAGCAACTCTCATGCCACATATTAAATACAATGAAATCACAGAATAGGAATTCACAATGTGTCTATGATGTCAAAATGAGAATTGTTGTCATAATATGATTATGTCATTGAGTTTGATTATGTCACAATGAGGTGATGCGCTTATAATGAAAATGTGATGTCATACTGTTGAGAATGTCACAAACACTTTTTGATGTTATAATGGCATGTCTGCTTTCCATTGTCATTAGTTAACAACAAGGATATGGGTACACAAAGGGACTGATGTTGAAAAGGGCATGTGATTTTTCAAAGAAGGTAAGAGATCATAATAGGTTTGAGATGTCACAAGGGAATCATGTTGTCACAATGACAATGTTGTCACCATGGGTTTGTGATGTCGTGGTGGTGATGATGTCAACATGTGTTTGTGATGTCACAACGAATTTGTAATATCACAATCAAATTTCCAATTTCAATTGCTACTAGTTCACAAGGAGGATACTGTAATAATCAGCAGGGCCCCGATAATCTACAGGCTTAGATAACCAGTGTGGCCCCATCTCCTGGCCAGCTGGAGAGGATGAAGTATGCCACCAAAGACGGTGGGGCATTCTGTGGGAGGGGCTGGGGCATTAATCATCACGTGCTGAGCTGTGGAGAAGTAATTTGACTGTGGGCAGTTTGGGATTTGACAGTTGAAAACTGTTAGGCAGTTGGAGTGAAGAAGGGGTACAGACGTTATATAGGCTTCTGGTTCAGAGCAATAGAAGGAGAGAGAAAAGGGGAAAAGTCCTGTAAGGAAGGAAGTGGTTTGATAGCAGAAGGAGAAAGACCTGGGAGGAGAAGAAGTTGAGGGAGGGCAGGAGGTAAAGGATGGCAACTGACGACCCATTCAAAGCAGTTCATGCCTGTGGAGAGTGAAGAGGCCTGAAGAGAAGAAGGAACTGGTAGAAGGGAGAAAGGGAAAGACCTCAAAGGAAGTATAGTTCTGTAGTGGAAAGACAAAAGAAAGGGTAAAAAAGGCTGGCCCTTTGATGTTTGGAGTTTTGGATTTCATAATTTTGGGGGTTGGTGGTTAGGAGAACATTTATGATATTAAATGTGTCTCTATGGATTCTCTTGAACTATAGAGGTCTTAATTTTTGGAGACCCCCATCGAGATAATCCATTTGGATGGCATCAGGCCTTGGCCTCAGGGAAAAATCCCCATAGGTGAGAGTGTCAGCACTCAGGGTTGAGAGTCTACCTCAAGTGTTTGTCTCCGGAGGAGAATCATGGACAAAAAGTCATTTAAGGTCCTCTAGGGGTGTGTGGGCAAGCTTGCCAGCCTGATTGGGGCTCCCCTCTGGAGGTCATCTGTTGCTTCCTTGGGAAGCCATCTGGGAACTCCTTGAGAGGTCATGCAGGGCTTCTTTGGGAAGCCATCTGGAACCTCCTTGAGAGGTCATGTAGCCCTTCCTTGGGAAGACATCTGGAACCTCATCAAGAGTACATCTGCAACTTCCTTGAGAAGCCATCTGAGACCTACCCTGGAGGTCATCTGGAGCCTTCTCCTGGGGCCATCTTGCACTTTCTCCAGAGGTCATTTGGGGCTTCCTCAGGAGGTCAGCTGTGACCTCTATAAAAGTAGTGATTGGGAAATAAGGGAAACCATGGACCTAAGTTTCTTTGGGCCTGGCTTATTTCACTTAATATAATTTTTTCCAAGTCTTTCCATTTCCTAACAAATGGGGCAAAGTCATTCTTTTTGGTGGAGGCATAGAATTCCATTGTGTATATATACTACATTTTCTTGATCCATTCATCTACTGAGGGGCATCTGGGTTGGGGCTTCCTTAAGAGGCAATCTAGGACCACCTCCTGAGGTCATCTGGAGCTTCTTTTGGAGGTCATCTCAGGTTACCTTGATAAGAAATATATGGCTGTCTTCGGACATCATCTGGAACTTCCTTGAGAAGTCATATAGGATGTCATCTGTGGCTTTCTCAAGAGGGTTATCTTGAACCTTCTCTGGAGTTCATATGTGGCCTCCTTGAGTGGCCATCTGTGAGCTACTGGTGAGGTAATCTCAGCCTCATTGAGAGGACATCTGGGACCTCCTTTGGAAGTCATCTGAACTTCCTTGGGAAGCCATTTGGAACATCCATGAGAGGTCATCTAGGGCTTCCTAAGGAGGACATATGTGACATCCTCCAGAGGTCATCCGCGACCTCCTCAAGAGGCAATCTGGAATGTCCTCTCTGTCATCTGGGACATCCTATAGAGGTCAACATTGAGAGGTTTGGGGCATGTGGGTTAAGTGTCTGTGGCTATTGTTCTGTCTGTGCATGCTGATAGTTCTGTGTCCTGTATGACCCTCTGTTTACTCCTTTTCTCAGGATGGGAGAACAAGGCCTAAATTTGTCATAGCCAAAAAATATTCTCCCCCAGGGTTACAGAATCCCTCAGAGGAAGATGCACTGATGTACTCTTTCTCCTATTCTTTGCCATCAGCACCTCTAATGTTAAGTCCTCCCATGCGAAAATTGGTTACTTGTACCATCCTGAGGTGGTACAGTATGGTATGTTACCCTTATTACCCTTGAGACGGGAACATGGAGGAGATGGTGGGCAGGTCCCCTTTTTAATATATGGTCCCTTTACAACTAGTGACCTGTATTACTGGAAACAGCAAAATCCATCCTTTTCAGAAAAAAACAACAACCAGGGCTCATTACCTCATTAGAGACAGTAATTTTCACACACACGCACAACTGGGATGAGTGCCAGCAAACTTTACAGATGATTTTCACCTGGTAGAAAAGGGAGTGAATACTGCTCAGTAACTTGAATGTGGTCCCTGGACCGGACAGTAGCTCCACTATTGAACCAGACCATTTGGATCAAGTCTTTCCCCAGATTTATCCAAGCTGAGACTAACAGCAATTGAGGTATGGAGGTGCTTACCAATTATTGCCAGGTTTGGTTAGCAGTGATACCGCAGAGGCTGGAAAGCCAGAAAGGTGAGTGAGATGGGAGAGTTCCCCAGTGAGTACCCTAATGCTTTTCTGAAACTTCTCCCAGAAGCCTATAGGACCTATAGGCCTATAGATCTTGAAGCCTTGGAGAATCAAAGAGCCCTAAATATGGCTTTTGTTAGTCAGCCCCATATCTTAGAAGAAAGCTTCAAAAGTTATAAAGTTTTGAGGGAAAGGTGTATTTTGAGTTGGAAGTGGTTGCCCAGTGGGTGTTTGACAACAGAGGTACCCTGGAAAAAAAAAAAGAGTAAGAAGGGAGTTTGAGTTTTGGTAGGAGCACCAGAATAGGGATCAAGAAACCCTTGGCAAAGACAGTACAATTCATTTGCAAATGGCAGTAGGGAACCTCTAGGACTAGATCAGAGTGCTTATTGCAAGAAAAATGGACATTGGAAAAAGGAATGTCCAAGGGGGAGAAAGATTGAAAATGACAGGTTATGTAATCCCATTAACACCTGGAAAATGTGATTATATCTCTGGAGAAACATGCAAAGGAGCTTGAGGCTCTGAATTCCAACTGTGTTCAATTTAAAAACAGCCCTATAATATTAAGAAGAAATGTGGCAAAGAAAAAATTCACACACTTCTATCTCAAAACACAGTTTATAAAATACTGAATCTCCAATATGTGCTAAACAAAACCCACTAAGAGGTTAAAAGCAAATAGAAGAGTACACTGGAGAAACCAGAGAATTATTGACGTGAAGAAAAGCTTTGAAGATATAAATTACGAACTTGTGAGAGTCAAAAATGAGAAGAAAATCCTCAAAAGGAACCTAGAAAACAGTCAGAATTAAATGAAATTCAAGTACATTAGCCTGGGTGAGCATGAGGCAAGTTAGGGGACCACAGGTCAGAGGCCAACAGAAGCACAAGACAGCAATGCTACCATCCTTGCTAACCACAAGTGAGGCCAAGAAGAGATCCTGATGCTTCATTAAGAAATAGTGGACATGTTCAACCACTTTGGAAAGCAGTATGGAGGTTCCTCAAAAGACTCCACATAGAGCTCCCCAATGACCCAGCAATCCCACTTTTGGGCATTTACCCAAATGATCACAAACAAGGCCACACTAAAGCTACCAGCACAACTATGTTTATTGCAGCATTATTTACCATAGCTAAGACATGGAACCAACCCAGATGCCCCTCAGTAGATGAATGGATCAAGAAGATGTGGTATATATACACAATGGAATTCTATGCCTCCATCAGAAAGAATGACATTGCCCCATTTGTTAGGAAATGGAAAGGCTTGGAAAAAATTATATTAAGTGAAGTAAGCCAGGCCCAAAGAAACATAGGTCCCATGGTTTCCCTTATTTGCAATATCTAGTATAGGTATGAGTCAAGCGGAAAAAGTCAGATAATGTGATGTTAGGAAAACGAAACCTCAAGTATGTATTTTAATGTTTTTGTTTCTTTCATGCATGTGTTTCTAATGCATTTATAAGATTATTTCATTGTTGCTTTGTATGTCCCTCCCCCACAGTGTAACCCCCGCTTTCACTATATTTGATGTCAGTATAACATGTGGAGGAGATGGGGACAAACAAGTCTTTTAAGGATTCAGGTGGACCTGTTGCAACAATGAGAAGTACAAAATGTCATGTCAAAATCAGCATTACAATGTCGGTGGGGGGGTATGATTGGGTGGGAGGGAGGGGGGAGGCTGGGAAGGGAGGTGAAGGGTAAACAAAGGAGGAGGCTGCAATGCTTGGTAAGAAATGTATGCATTATCCTGCCCATGTAATTGTAACCCCTCTGTACAGTATGTTCTCAAATAAAATAAAATAAAATTTAAAAAAAAAAAAAAAAAAGAAATAGTGGACATAATAAAAGAGCTGGACCTGATATAAGAATGTATTAGGCTGAAGTACATGTTGATTATAAGCTTTGAAGAGTGTCACCAGATATTCAAAACAACAGAGAAAGAAGATAAGAATAGATATAGAGAAAGACGAGGAAGTGCTATGTCATAGAAGATGAGGCCAAGAAAAGTGAACAGGAAATATCAGGCTCAAGAAAGAGATTGTTACTCTTCAGTAAGAGTTAAAGGACCACATGGTCTGATAAAGAATGCCGGGGAAAGGAAAAGAGCATTGGGAAGAAAAACAGAAGCGCTAAACAAACAGTTGAAAGATCTGTCACAAAAATACGGTGAAGTGGAAAACTAGAAAGAGAAACTACTAGAGTAAAAAGCCAAAAAGACTGCTGAGATCTTCACCATAAATGTAATGCAGAAATATCATGTCCCAATGGAACAGGTGGAGGTGGGAAAATTTACCTCTCAATAGCACCTTTGTGAACTTAAGGAAGGAGCTGAAGAGCAAGCAAAGGGGTTGTGAGAAGGAACAGCAGTTGGCCAGTCAAAGGAACTCTCATGTGACCCTGCCAAAACATTTGCAGGTTAAGGAGCACATTGAGAAGGAGAGTGGGATCATGAAAGCAAGTTTGAGAGAAAAGGAGGAGAATAAAATGGAAGAAGTATCCAAGGTTCAGAGTACTATACAGGAGTTAAAGAAACTAGAGACCCTAAGATACAGAGAAACATCTGAGCTGGTTAGGTAGCTTGGGAGACCACTCTAAAACCAACGGGGTCTCTAGAGCTACTAGTTGTTAACATTAAAGGAAGAAGCAAAAACAGTGGTAATAAGTGTGCAAATTTTGAAACTAAACTTGGGAAAAATGCATAAGGCTTAAGCTGTCAGTTTATATGTATATATTTGCACCAAGGTAAATTGCCCGAGGCTACTGCCTAAGACTGTTCTGAAAACCAGTAGGGCCTCAGCCTACCAATCCTTTGTAATGTGTGTAGGTAATTTCCAACAGGTAAAAGCTGAAAAGCTGGAACATATGGAAAGAATTCATATGTGAGGAACCTCAGATGGTGAATTGGGCAAGTGGACTTCATAGAGGTAAAGCCTGGAAAGTATGGGTATTGGTATCTATTATAATAGTGGACACTTTTTCAGGCTGAGCTGAGGCATGTAATAATTCCTTGATTTGACTTACCCTTAGGTGTGGGGTCTGAAGTTGGCACTGCATTCATGGCCTAAGTTCTCAATTATTAACTAATGCCCTAGGAATAAATTGGAAGTTACAATCCATATATAGACCTCAGAGTTCAAGGCACTAGAAAGAATGAGTATGACCTTAAAGAAACTTTAACTAAATTAAATACAGAGACTGGCCATGGCTACGTAAGTCTCCTTCACTTTGCTCTTCTTCAAGCAAGATGTAGCCATTATGTTAAAGAATTTAATCCCTTTGAAATACTTTAGGATAGACCACCCACTTTGTTCCCTAATCTTGTGAAGGCTATATTAACAGAAATGTCTAACTACAAATTGCTGGCTTTACAACATATTCTTTTATGTACCTATCCTTTGGTAACCAAGGCCCACTTGCCGCCTAAGAAAAATTCCACCTGACAAGGAGGGGCCAAGATGGCAATGGAACAGCAGGGAAACACCACAGCTCTCTCCAACCAAAAACAGTGTTTGGCTTTCAATGCTCTGTTTCACCAAGTGACACCCTCCCACCCCCCAAAAAAATGCAATTGCTCAGAGAGATATAGGAAGTGATAAAAGAAAAGGGAAAAACCTACACAGACAGTAAAGTGGGAAGACCCTTCCCCCACCCCTTGTTGGTGATGGGGCTCTGTGCTGAGCAGCTTAAGTTGTGGGGATTCGTGCCAGGCTGCTTAAGTATCCTGGCTCTGGACCCTCCAAAGACCACACACAGGCAAGCATCCCAAGGCTCCCAGAAGACTCCCAAGGTACAGTGCCAACCCAGAGAATACAAACAGAAATCTCAAATGCAGAGCCGGCATGAAGACTTCCCTCAGTGGCCCTGGCACGGCGCCTCTGCCTGGTTGGTGCAAGCAGCCCAATCCAGTCTGGAACAGCAGCAGCTTTCAGCAGTGGTGAATGACCCTAGACTCACACTGTGGTACTTCTGTCCTGCTGGTGTAAACAGCCTAGCCTAACCTGGAGCAGCAGCAGCAGCAACTGGCAGTGGCAGCAAACCACCAAGACTCCGGGCACGATGCCTCTTGGCACTAGCCCACAGGAACAGCCCAGACGAGCCCAGGGCGGCAGCGGTGGCTAAGGTGACTACAGCTGCAGTGAACAACTCCAGACCCCTGGTGGTTTGTGCCTCTCCATACTGACCCACATAAGCAGCCCAGCCAAGCCAGAGGCAGAGCAGTGTCTAACACCTGACTCGTGGTGGAGTGTCTGGCTTGCATATGTGGCCCAGCTGATCCTGGGGCAGTGGCAGCAGCTCAAGCAGTGCATCAGTTGTGGCAGCAGCAGTGGCATCGACAGCGGCTGTGAACAACTACAGACGTACAGTGGGGTGCAGCATCTCTCCATACTGGCTTGCATAAGCTGCTCAGCCCAGCCCATGCTGGCAAAGGTGGTGAACAGCCACAGAATTGAGGCAGGGTGTGGTGCTGAACTACCCAAGAAAATCCTCATGAACATTCTTGCCTGGGATGGCTTTAAAACTGAATACTCAGATGTGAGCCTCCTGAGTAGCTAGAATTACAGGCATTCCCACCAGCAGGGTCTTATTCTTGCAAACTCCCTAACTTTTTCTCAAATAGATCATTTGTTAGTTCATACAAGGAATTTAAGCAAATACAAGAGGATCGACATAGTACCCTGTATTCTATCTGACCATACTGGAATCAAACTGGTTCTCAATAACAAGGCATAAAGTAGATAAAACTTAAACATATGGAAATTAAACAACGTTCTTGGAACAAT